CTACAAAAAACTGACCCACCCTGTATATTTTAGTTATTACATTCAGTTAACAAAAAAAATCCAACCATCAGATTAAGGTAATTCCTCTACATAATTGTCAGATTATTGGTCGATAGGACAAGGACATTAAGATGTAGCATCTGTATAATAATCTGACGCGCTCCAGTATTTCAAGGTCACGATTTTTTTTTTCATTTTCAAAAATTGATCATGACTTGGTCGCGTCCAAATCATCAGTCTTTTGAATAGGAGATACTTGAGGGTTCACTTAACGTAACCGTCTCAATATCTGAACTGGAATTTTTTTTACCTAGTCTCTATCCCTTTGTACGGCCACCCCCACCATGCCAACCGGCTGATTGATATTTTTCGGTTATCAGAGACACGTGGGGCACATACAGTATTAATATCTGATTCGTTGGGGTATTTCTATTTTTTTTTAACATTTTTGAACACCTGTACACGCTCTCCCCACCAGTGAAAGGTCATAATATATTATATTAACTTTTTTCATTTTCGCATCTAATCTTCACAATCTGATATGTCCTCATGACCCTCCAGTAAATCCCTATTTAGCCTCTTTGCCTCCCCTACTATTGAGTAATACCTCGGAGGGCAGTGGTTTAGCTCTGGTTTGCTGAGACTCAGTTTTTTGTTCGCGTTGATCTGGAATTGCTCAGCAATAGAAGGCTTATTCACTCTATTTCCATTTCCTGAGCTCTGTGATTAGATGACATTTGCTTGTTCTACAGAAAGACTCAGGACCAAAGAACAAATATGTTTTTTTTTAACCCATTCACATGTGTGAAGAGTGATTTCGATACTTATTTAGAATAAAATGGATAATTTCATAGTTTGAATAGTTCTTATCCGTTTTTCATCAAAATGTATGAAGACTACCTATATAAATCAGAATAATCAATTTTTCATGTCTTCCTCACCATAAAGAATACACACACAATACTATGATCTACAGTTCTCAACACACCAAAATGGACCACTCATAATTTGACTCTAGTTCAAAGACCTGTATTTTTTTAAAAAATTGACCGATCTTCATGCGGTTTTCGATATCAGATGTGATGTTTCATCGGCTTCAAAGAGAGCTAGAACAATCTGAAAAAGTCTGTAAAACAAAACTTACACAGGGTGTAAAGTGGAACCATTACCATTAGTGGGACCTCATCTCGGGACATTTTCGTGATTTCTCCTTGATTGGCCATTGGGACAAAAATTCGATTTTTTTTCGAAAGTCTTGCATTTTTTTATTTTTTTCTCTAGAACTCCACTTGAGCTGACTATTGAGAAGAACTATTCTCATGTTTCATGGAGGACAATGAAAGACGAAAAAAGCACTTCTTTGGAATATACAGGGTGTATACACAATTTGTTTATTTTTTTTAAGGATCTACTTATTCTAATGTCCTTTTTTTTTGTACATTTTTCATGCTTATGATAGCCACATAAAATTATGTATGTATTGTTAATCGAAGCCATGGGTAGAAGGACCTCGGCCAATAACCCTTCAATAAAGTACTATTATTATTATTACAGGATGATAAGAAAATAGGACAAAATCTCATTTCAGTGAAAAAAATCAAAAATGGTGACTAAAACTATGGCCCATTCGATCCAGTATATTCAGAAACGGCCTTCTCGATATCCATTATTTATATTAGACTACTAACTCGAGATGTTTTCGAAAATTCGCCTCTAAATGAAATACAGGATGAAACTTTTCAATTCAAACTTGTTTCCTGATATCGATGATTTTCAATATTAATTGCCCAAGTATGAGAAACGGAGAATTGTTGTACAATATACTGAGTGTTTTACAACTTATCTGACAAATTTCAACCACAACTACAATATTACATAAGAAGTCTATCACAAAAAAAAATTAATAGAAGTGAAACGAGATGGAAAATTAAATTTGTAACACTTTATATCAACTAAAACTATTCGAAAAGGGTGATAAGAAAATAGGACAATACAGGGTGAAAATTTTCAATTCAAACTTGTTTCCTGATATCGATGATTCTTATCATTTTATCAACAGATTTCCAATATTAATTGCCCAAGTATGAGACACAGAGCATTGTTGTTCAATATACTGAGTGTTCCACAACTTATCTGACAAATTACGAACTCCAGAAAACAATAATGTTAGAAGAATGTGGTGACCAGCATTATTTCCAGATCTGAATTTGATTGAACATGTGTGGAGCCGAATGAAACTTAACCTATCGAGAAGGCGAGGCACCCCAATATAATGACAACCTTATCCAGAATGGGCGGCAATATCAATAGATTTCATCAACAACCTCATAGAATCTATGCCAAACCGATTTCATGAGGTTTTGTTGAATCGGGGAGGCCTACCAAGTACTGAAATTTAGGATATAGGACTTTCTAGTTGGATCTTCATAATGCTGAAGAATTCAATAATGTCATATTTCGCCAATAGAGCCCTTTTCGAATAGTTTTAGTGGATATAAAGTGTTACAAATTTTATTTTCCATCTCGTTTTACTTCTATAAATTTATTTTGTGATAGACTCCTTATGTAATATCGTAGTTGTGGTTGAAATTTGTCAGATAAGTTGTAGAACACTCAGTACATTGAACAACAATACTCTGTGTCTCATACTTGGGCAATAAATATTGGAAACCATCAATATCAGGAAACAAGTTTGAATTGGAAATTTTCATCCTGTATTTCATTTAGAGGCGAATTTCCGAAAACGTCTCGAGTTAATGGTCTAATTTAAATAATGGATATCGAGAAGGTCGTTTCTGAATATACTGGATCGAATGGGCCACAGTTTTAGTCACCATTTTGATTTTTTTCACTGAAATGAGAATCAAGAAATGCAAGACTTTCGAAAAAAAATCGACTTTTTGTTCCAATGGCCAATTAAGGAGAAATCACGAAAATGTCCGGAGATGAGGTCCCAGTGTATCATAATATGACTGACTTTTGATCAGAAAAAAATTTCTCGAGTTCTGGTAGCATTGGAAATGTAGACCATAGTGTAATGGTTCCACTTTACACCCTGTGTAAGTTCTGTTCTGCGATCTTTGTCAGAGTGTTCTAGCTCTCTTTGAAGCCGATGGAATATCACATCTGATATCGAAAACCGCATGAAGATCAATTTTTTCAAAAAATAGAGGTCTTTGAAATTGAGTCAAATTATGAGTGGTCCATTTAGTGTGTTGAGAACTGTATTTATATTTTCCAGAGCTATATGTAAATGGGTGAATTAGAGGAATCAAACAAGTGAATTTGAATGTGACAACTAAGAGCAGCACTTGGACCAGCATAATATGTCTTCATGTCCAAGCACTTCACTTTCTGGCATATTAATGAACTTCACATGAGCTCTCTATAGGAATTTCAATGCTCTTTCAATTTGTGTATGATGTGTTTTTCCAACTAATACATAGATTATGAATTATCAACAAAAAATCAAGAACAAAGTACTTTGGTCAATTTATAACTTGCTCTAGCTCCTCACTTACAAGTCCTACATCAATGAGCTAGAACAATGATTCAGTAATGTACTAGTCCACAAATGGCTGAGGATGAGGATAATCCCTACAATTTACAATTTAATCCTCCCTACATCATTGTTTAAAGAGGGTTTGGGGCCCTGAAGGATCTGGTTTTGGAGATGATAGTGGTAGAGCAGATCATGTTTGTTCATTCTCTTTCTGGTGGTATATGAGAGAAAATAGTTTTTTTTACTAAAGAATAACAAGAGGCAGGTGTAAAAAACATTATTCTACCAAGCTATTTGATGTAAATATATTTGTACTGTGACTGTGACAATTCAAGAAGTGAAGTAAAACCTTACAGAAACAATTACTCACATGGCCAGGACTCCACATCAGGCAGTGTAGTTTCTTTCTTCTAGAGATATGTAGATTATGAATTATCTATGAGAACCAAGGAAAAACACTATTTTGTGCCAAATAGACAAATTTGGTCTATTTTAGACTTGCTCTAGCTCATCACCCATCAGTACTACAATCATGAGCAATTATATATATATAGGAAATTTCATCTTCTTCAAGTTTATAAAGGATGGTCTTTTCCCTGAAATGTATAGTTTGGGAGGTACAGACATAAAACTGAAAGAAGAGTGAAAATTTCAATGTTTTTTTGTGAATATCTTGGAATGAACAAATTTCAAATTCAGATTCAGCACCCTCAAAAACATATGGAACTGCAGAGAAATATTTGTTATTTTCCACCAGAGGATTTTTATCATTACAGTTTTACTGAGTTATACTTATTAATAATTGAGTTAATATTTAAAAGACTCCTTAATAAATCATATTTTTCTGGAAAGAATAGTCCATTTCATTTTTAATCTAATATGCAATAATTGTTCATTTAAAACCAAATTTGTCACCTACTATGTCCAAGTATGGTCTCCACAAAGTGATCAACAGAGGTGTGATGAGGGTGAAATGTAGACTTGATTTAGGTAAGTACTTAAGAATACACCATCATCTTACAAAAATACATAGGTAAGTAGTAAAAAGTAAAACCATGCCAAACTTGACTTACTTCAAACTAATTCATTACTTAATATCATTTTCCATACCTACACAGGATGACTTTAGTCAGTATAGTTATTAGAGTTCTATCAAGAAATCTATAATATGATTATTAGAACAAAATAATACAAAAAACAAATCATCACCAGTTTCTCAATAGATAATAATGAAGTTATTCAAACACCATTTATCATTATGCACCAGTAGAGATTTCATTCCTGTTGCTTTTCATAAATTTTCTCAATAATGATGGGGTGAAATTGTTGATGAGCAGGGGGAAATCATGTACTTCCAGATATTATAAAATATTCAACAGCCGGTCCTACACATATTTTTTAGGACTTTCTTGTTACAGTTAAATCATAGTTCATAGTTGTAGGTTGTACAATATTTGAATTTTTATACTTGATACAGGTTATTTTAAAAGTTACATACCTTTTTATTGAGAATTGAGATAAATCAAAAACAAATTATGGATGGACAACAAAACAAATAATAACAAAAACTCAACAAAAACAAAAACAACTGCCAGTGCTATATCAGAATGTGAATCACGGATCACGGAATTCAAGAAAAATGCTGTGTCAAAGAAGAAATATGTGTCTTGTGATGTAGAGCTTCTGTATGATCTAAGATACACACATCAGCGAATCTTTCAAACATCGAGGTCAAGTGACGTCACCCACAGCAATATATCTAGTACTCATATATGAAGCAAAGCTGTCCTCAAAGCGGGACCAACTCGTTACCACCGATAAAACAAGGCCAGCAGACTCTGACGTAAACAGCTCGTGACGTCGCATACTCAGGCCATCTTCATTCGCGTCGATCGATCGTCAGTTTGTTTTTGTTTAAGAAAGGTGGCGTAGGTAAATCGCGTGTGCTTGAATTCTCTTGTTGTTTATTCATCAAAATAATTGGCGGAGAAATTACTGTTTTGTGAAATATTTCGTGATGTGATAGGCGAAATAACAATGCCTTACAAGTGTTGTGTTCCCTTTTGTCGGGGGAATTATGTGGGTGGTCCAAAAGTTCATGCTTTTAGTTTCCCGTTGGACAAGGAACTATCGAAAAAGTGGGTACATGCAATTCACCGCAAGGATTTTACGACTCCGTCTAAGTACAGTAAAGTATATGTGAATTACATTTAACTGCTAAAGATGACATTATTACTTCATCTACTGCAACCGATTCAAAAACTGGCAAAACTGTAACAATAGATTTGAAAATTCCTTGGTTCAAACGAGATGTTATTCCCACTCAATTTCCCAACTGTCCATCTTATTTATCAAAAGATGTAAAATTACACACAAGTCGTGATGAAAAACTTGAGATACTAGAGACTGAAAATTTGGCACAAGTAGGGTCCCTTGATGGAAATTGACGTTAACGTCAATTTTCATCAAGGGACCCTAGGCACAAGCACTTACCAAAAGTAAAACTGAATTCGAAAATTACCAAAAATCATTTTGCTACACAGAATTTCAAGAATTTCTAGTTGTATTAGAGTCTTTTCAGTTGCCCGAAAAGTGGTTCAAAATTATCGATTTGCAAAAAGTCACATAATTCAAATTGTCTTATTCTCCAGGACCCGTAATTACATATTCGGTTGTGATTGATTTTGTTTTGAATGTGGAATCATTTTGGTATGACCTAGCGATACAAACATCTCTAAAAGCCAATCTGAAAACACCTTTTATCTCTAATAATATCAATCAAATCAAGGAATTACTAATTGAAATAGATAAAAACGAGATACATAATTCGGGAAAATGTCTTGATAATCAGAAAAAGAGGGGTTTGAAACATATTTCGAATGCATTGGACTCTTTGGTTTCTGACTCAATACATTCTCAAATTTCTTTCTGAAAACGGTCATTTGCCTCGTGGCAATGAATGCATAATTCATTCAAATGATCAAATTGCAACTATTATATTAACATGTACTACAAACACTCTACTTAAAAATTACTGTTTCAAGTCTAACGACCAATTCGGTAAAAAATCCAACAACATGAAATTGAGAACACTCACTGGCTAATTTTTTAGGTAATAGGAATTCTCCAAGATAAATATAGGTAATTAGGTATAACAAACGGTCTATCAAACTAAAATACATTTTCCCCAATTTTCTTTATTCGATCAATCTCATGATAAGTTTATGTTCTGCGGGCCCTGTATAAGTAGGTGTGAAGTTCACCTCTAATGAGATTGAATCACTACAATTTTTGCCAATATATTTAATTCGAATGGGTTGCTGTGGGTGGGTATTTGTGTTTTATTCTGGTTTTTGATTTGAAACTTCGTTTTTCCATAATAAAATCGAATGGGATGCGAAGAAGGGCTCAGTTGACGGCTGGCATCCTCTTTCAACCGGAAGCCCTTCAAAAAAAAAGCAAAATCGGCTCAATAATGATCTAAAACTAAAATCGAAATACGCGGTCGCCTTATAGCGCTATAAGCGCTTGTCGTTTCGAGCCTCTGGTTAGGCCTGACTAAGTGACGTCACCCACGGAGCATGCAAATGTGAAAAGTTTGGTCACAGTATACACCCTAGCACTCCTAGCAGGGTGTATACTGTGGTTTGGTTGTGAATTGAGAAACTACGACTACTACAAGTAAAGCAATAGTTAGTGGTCTGTGTATCTGAAAGGAGGGTACTTTCAACCCAACTTGTCCTTGTGAACCTTGTGTGAACCTTTTCCCTGAAAAGTATATTATTGAAAAATTAATTAAGTGAAAGAAGGAAGAAATATCAAGTGTTGTGTGTGACGTCACATGACCTCAAAGTTTGATGATTCGCTGGTCTAGCTAGACGCTTGTCACTTCATTGTCGACTGGTGTTCAATCCCTCCAAGGCGTCATTTTTTGTTTCGATTGTTTTTTCACTCAATTGATTTAAAAAAAATACTTTTCAGGCAAAAGTTTCATTTAGGACAAGTTAGGTTGAAAGTACTCCCCTTTTTCATGCAGAAGAGATATTTTTCATCCTCATATTACCTTATATAAGTCTCAAAAATACGAATAACCTTTTGATAACCTTGAGGTTTGGAAGATTTGCTGGTCTAGCTAGACGCTTAGATTGGTCACTCTGATACATTATGGACGCATGCGCATTCGCTCATAGAAAAACTTGGCCCTCTCGAGGTCTCGAGAGGAAGGAAAAACATTCTTGAAAGCCTAAAGGTATGTTATTCATGCTTGTACGAATCCCGCAAAACTTATGCGAATAAAATGGCGACTGCGAATATCGCAATGAAGTTGAAATATTCTAAATTTTTTACGAATTCGGATGGAATCATAAACCACACACACATGCATAAAATGTTTTGTTTATCTGATAACATCAAAATTGGGGAATTAAAGAGCGGACAACAGAGGCTGAAAAAAGACGTGACTAGACACTAGACTACAGGTAAGTACAGAATTATAATTTAAAATTTCATCATTTCTTCATTCGATTTAGTTTTCTTCACAGAATGGATTCTCTGGACGAAGTAGTTTTAATGTATATCCAGAAGCAAAAAAGGAGCTGTAGTGTTCGAAGCATTTCTAAATGCCGAAAAATGTATGGAGATTATTACAGCCTCGTTCGATACATGCGACTGAATGACCCTAATACATATTTCAATTACTTTCGTGTAACGTGCATTCAATTTGATGAACTTCTATCATTGGTGGGACCAGAAATAAAGATATTATATATGATAACAGAACCTGTATCTCTTCCAAATTTTGTCGCATGAGTAATTCTGTTGGGAATTTCATATTTTGCGATTCGCATAAATTTTGCGTATTTCTAGCATGAACATATACCTTTTTCACAGTGGGCTGACGCCAATGACGCCATGCTAGTAATGTTCCTTCAATCTGAACTAACCAATTGGAACTAACTGAAATATTTCAGTAGAACTGAACCGAATCGTTCTTTCGAATGTATATGTACAATGCATGTCAACTGACTCAGTTCAGTTGAAGTGAAATGTGTCAGTTAGTGTTGTTAATACTATGTTCACTTTGTATACTTTACCTTATGGGTTTCTTAGGTGATATATTTATTTTTTATATATCGTTAGTACATTGTTTTATGTTTTATAAAATAATTAAAGCTCCATTCACTTTGAGTATTTTCCTGTTAATTCATAACTCACAAGAGGTTATGGGCCCAGATTACGAAAACTGAAGATAAAGAAGTGTGCCCAGTGTATTTTTGAATAATCCAAATCCAAGAACTCTTCAGTGTCACTGTCAGTGTGAAAATTCGCTGATCCCTATAATTCATAGGCTCCAATCCAGCGAATAAACCATGGACAAGATTAGGAATCTGAATATTCAGAAATTCAATGGTCAAAACTTCCAGCTGTGGAAATATCAAATGGAAATCATATTCAAAGTTGAAGGTTTGTCAATCTTGTTCACTGAGAAATCTGAACGTCGTCCTGCCATTGAAGCTGAGCCGAATATCAAGAAGGAATGGGAAGAAATGAATGCCCGAGCCATGCTTATTTTTATAACAGTATCAATGAAATTTGAACAATTACAAACCATCATGACTAGCGAAACAGCTCCTGCAATGTGGTCAAGATTGAAAATAATTCACGAGCAATGATCTGCAGTCAACAAAGTAACGCTGAAGCAGAAATTCAAATCATCAAATGGCTAGTACTGATAAAATTGCCCAACATATCAGTAAAATCGAGTCGATGGCGCAAGCACTTCGTGATGTTGGAGAAGAGGTTGAAGATATCGACCGAATAGCCAAAGTTTTAGACAGTTTGCCACCAAAGTACGGAGCGTTCATTTCAGCATGGGATTCCTTTGAAGAAAATAAGCAAACCTTCGACAATCTAACCGTACGGTTACTGAAAGAAGAGTTACGGCTGACCCAAGCTGATTAAACGACTTCAGCCTTCGCTGCTGTCAACATAAATGAACCAGGTCCTAGTCGCCAAAGTAGCACTTCCTCTGAAAAACCACAATTCAAGAAGAAGCAAATACCATTCTGCTGCTATTGCCGGAAGAGAGGTCATGTGAAAGCAGAATGTAGAAAAAGGTTGGCGAAAATAGCCAGTAAAGCACAGGAAGACAAACAAGTGCAGAAATTTCAAGCGTTCAGTGCAGAAGAAAAGAACATCAATATAGAGGGCTGTGAAAATATTTGGCTTGCAGACAGTGCAGCTTCGAAACACATGACTTTTCATCATGAATGGTTTACCTATCTCAAGTCTCTGGTTCATCCAACAGCCATTCAAATTGGCGATAACTCTTTCGTATATGCCGAAGCTGTGGGCTGCATCAAAGTTTTCGCTGTAATCGATGGTCGTCGGGAACTAGGTTCTCTTGAAAACACCCTGTATGTTCCGAAACCCGGCAAGAACTTATTCTCAGTGGGAGCAGTGACAGATAAAAAAATCAAAGTCATGTTCGACAGAAAGTTCATAATAGTGTATTATGGAGAAAATCTATCTGCTCTTGGAATGAAACAACCCAACCACTGCTATGCAATGTTTTTCGAAA